CCGTGCGAGAGACTAATGATTATGCTTATTATATTGCATCTGATCGCATCATTTGCATGATTTTCACATTGCTGTTTAATAAGCCATCCCGGGTTATAAATAATACTGGAATTGGTTTCTAATAATGGCGAGCTATAAACGGAATGGCTTTTATAGCTGGGTATAGCCGAGCTTGGCGGGCACGGAGCCGGGCTGCCAGGAGGATAAATCTCCGGATTATTATTTTTAATGTGCGTCTGCTATATAATCTGCCGCTAATAACACTGCATCACTTTCTTACAGCTCTCACAACTCGCCTTCCTTCGTTTATTGGACTTTAGAAGAATTTGGGCAGCCGAAATAAAAAGTCTTATCTACTGCAATGAAATGCCAGGCAATCTGTTCAGCAGCATGCTGGTAAAAGGAGAGTCCCCAGCCATCCTCATGCCATGTACAGCGCGCAGGTTACATACAGATGAGGCGTTCCGCCGAGCGTTGCAGCGCGCTTCTAATCTTCCTGAAATACAATCGTCCCCCCTATTGCCTCATTACATAGCTTTATAAAACAGTAAATACACACCAATAAGAAAATCAGCTTTCGCTTCTATTGCTACTCAGCGACAATGGATTTATTCATCAGATTGTCATTGCTGGATCATTACACCCAGGCTTCCTTTTAGATAATTGCACATAGGGAGATAATATCGGGGGGAAAAGAAAAATGAAAAGTAAAATAAATAAAACAAAAATCAAAAACAGCCAATTTAATAACAATGCGCATGTTTCTTTGTAAGAGACTATTCTCAAATATCAGAACGTGTGTTATTGAAGTCATACAGTGATTGGTTTTTATTGTAGCATCCAATAAATTGGTAACTCAAGAGCATTTGTTGTAAAAGTCTTCTCATTTAACTGAATGTGTATTGTGGAAGTGCAAACATTTCTGAGAGCTATCACTTTGAATCGTATGCTATATAATAGAGAATCAAATGTAATCCAATGCAAAATAATAGTCTGTACATGGAGTGACAACAAATGATTCCATAAAATAATAAGTGGAAATCATTCAGATCTAGCAATTGTTTTGTGTACAGGTGTATATAGTATATTATAGGTGTGTATATAGGTGTATATGGTATATTACATAGGTGTATATAGTATTATTATATAGGTGTATATAGTATATTACATCGGTATATATAGTATATTATATAGGTGTATATTGTATATTACATAGGTGTATATAGTATTATTCTATAGGTGTATATATTATTATTCTATAGGTGTATATATTATTATTCTATAGGTGTATATAGTATATTAAATATGTGTATAAAGTATGTTATATAGGTATTTATAGTATGTTATATAGGTGTATATAGCATTATTACATTTGTGTATTTAATAGTATAAAGGAGAATAGGAGGTTTTCAGCACTGAGGACAGCGCACATTAACCTCAACATAGTCCGGTCAGCCAACGAGTCAACGGATAAAACCCACCATTATCAGCTGATCTGTCATCTGTATATGTCATAGAAACTGATAAAATAATATAGCTATATACATACATCAAATGGATATCATTTCCAGGGTTTGGC